CTCAAAAGGCATTCGGCCCAACCGAAGAAAACGACAGATCGAGTTACTCCGTCCTCCCCCGGGCACACAGTCGCCGAGAAAAAGATTCTGGCAGACCGTTTCGATCCAGCCCGTCAAAGACAATGCCAAGTTCCTCGAAGTCAGATTAGACTCGAGATTACTCCGCCACCCTACGACCAAACAGCCCGTTTTGATCCCCGCTTCGAAACCACTGCTCGCTCACGCCCTCGCCGTCGAGTGGGATCAGCTGTTATCTGTGCAGGAAGCTACGAAGACGCACTTGATCCCGCTTACCTCTCTGGTGTGCAGAGCGGTAGATATTGCGGCGGACGATGCGGCGGGAAACGAGGAGACGAGGCGGGCGATCGTGAAGGTGCTCCTGAGATACATGGATACGGATACGATTCTTTGCCTGGCGCCTCATGCTGACCCCAAGGACGAGAACAGTCCTTATTCTTATAAGAATGCCGAGGGGAAGACGATGAGAGAGGTTCAAGATGAGAAATTCTTAGAAGTAGTGGGACCCTTGACGGCAAAGGTATGGCCGGGCGTCAAGATCGTGCCTGTTTTGGGTGACGATGGGCATAGCATCTTCCCTAAGAAGCAAGAACAGGGTATGAGGGAGGTTGTGCAGGGGTATTTGCTCGGCTTGAGCGGGTGGGAGTTGGCTGGTGTCGAAAGGGCTACGCTTGCGGGCAAGAGTTTGTTGACCGCTGTTAGACTTGTTGAGGAGTGGAAGGAAGGAGGGCTTGGAGAGGGCAAATTTGGTGTTGAGGAGGCGTCAAAGGCTGTTAGTGTCGAGACTGACTGGCAGCAGGCTAGGTGGGGTGAGGTTGAGGATACGCATGATGTTGAGAGGGAGGATGTGAGGAGGCAGTTCGGCGGTGTGGTGCTGTTGGTTGCTGGTAAGGGGACTTAATAGATGAATAAAGCTGAGGAAGATGTATATACAAACGTGTAACTATTATTTTGGGGCAATGAAAGCCCTTTTGGAAAACACTTTGGATCCGCCTAAAATGATCTGCAATGTCTCAGTTCCCCTGAACTTGATGTTTACTAGCCCCTGAGCTGTCGCTATGGAATCAATGGCAAATTCACAACTTCAGGCGCTTTCGTAGTATAAAGTCATAACTGACAAACAATAACTTAAAATTCTTCAGTGTTAAAAGGCTGATGCAAAAGCCTCAATGGTAAGGAAACTAACTCCATGTACCGTGTGCATTATACCACCCAACTCAGTCATACAAAAAGACAGCATTCTGTCAGAGAGACCCAAAAGTCATTAAATATTCTCCAATACAAACCCCAGACATGGAAGCCGCCAGTCATGAGTTCTCAAAAAAATCCCACCTTGTTCCTCCTTCCTTTATCCTTATAGGCAGCAACGAACTTTCACTTCTTCCCAGTCAAATGCCACTCAAAAACTTTCTCAAAGACCGCCTTGCCCCCTCCAACAATCGTCTCCCCGTGGCAAGGAACAATACTATCAAACCCCCACCCACTAATCCTCTTCACGCTCTCATTGAAGCTCGGCCTGTCAGCCTTGGAAACCACATACCAAATAAATCTCTTCATCCCCTTGGCTTCACCCTCCGTACTGTTGAGTCCTATGAAAAACTGGGCAAAAACCCCGGTTTTTGGCTTCTCCGCTTCCGGAACACGCGAGTATTGCTCAGTGGCAGGTAGATTGAAAATTAGGTCCGCCTGGATTAGTACTTTGTCTGGCTTGTAGTAGAAGACTAATTCCTTGTTGGCGTGCCCATCCACGTACTCGTATTCAAAGTCCTTGTCAAAATCTTGGTCAATTTTCTGAGTCGTCTTGTTCGCCTTGGTAAAAACCACTGCGAATTCTTCATGGCCGATTTGGGGATCATTAGTCACTTTGGCGCGCTTCTCTGGGAGCCCCTCTGGTCCGATGAGCTTCGCATTCGGGTAGGCCGTCTTCCACTGAGACAAAAAGATGTGATGCTCAAAATCCGTCGCGACTAAATAACGAACGTCATTTCCCATGGAAGCGATCTTGGCTTTGGCTGAGGGAGTGAGTGCCACGGGTGAGAATACAGCGATTGAGCCAGAGGAGAGCTTGACTGCAGTTCCGCGGCCTCCGACTGGAATCTTCCCAAAGCGGGCGAAAGGGACGGAGAAGGTAACGACGTTAGGTGTTACGTCGCGAATCACCATTACGTCGTCCGGATTTGTAGGGACCAGCTTTGATGAACCCATTTTGTTTGAGGATTGTTGTTGGTAGAGGACTGCGGTTGTTATGGATGATAGAAGAATGAGGGTGGTTATGTATGCCGTTTTATTCTGCGACTGTGGGAGGAATGACGATGTGAGTTGTCCGGGATGACGGTGCGTTGCGGATTTGGAGAAGCTGGTGGTGGTGGTTCTGAGTAAACGATGTTGTTGACGAAGACAGTGAAGATAATGATGATGTTGCTGTTGATGGGAAAGGAGGAGTGATGTCTAGATGAAGGAGAGGGAACTTAATATAGTTCTACTACCTGGTGATACATCGCACTTACAAGGCTGCGATATTCCAAATAATGCGATGGAATGACCGGCGGTACACACACTTTCGGCATTTCACCTCTGGATGGGGATTTGAGGGTCCAGTGCTCCTCAAAAAGTTGCTGCGCCTCAGTAGTGGAATCTTGAGGAACGTTTGGAACTTTGAGGTGGGTGTGTGGTCGGTTACCAAGTCTACGATACTACCGACGGGGAAGTAGGCGTCGATTTGCGCGTATTCGACTAGGATTATACGATCATATGTACGGATAGCATTGACAATATGGTCAAACGTAGTGTAAGATGTGGTTTGGACCTCGGTACTCCATAGCATTCAAGTATTTGGGTTTGGGATGACATTTGGAATGCTGATGGTGTGAATAATTTGGATGACGACATACAACTTAAAAGCATAAATTATTTGAGATGCTTCAGCGAGTGAAACAGGATGCTTGTGAAAGTCAATGATTGATAATCAGGAGTCGACTGCCGAGGGCCGGTTGGCTAAAGAAACAGGGGTAACATCTGTAACCACCCTAACCCTTATCGCTCGATTATCTTTGTAGCTTGACCACGATGAATCACATTCTCTCAACGAAGCTCGACCAACTTGCAAACCAAGGCAATTCTAGACTTATAGCACAGTTCTCACATGATGATTTCCAAAGCTCGGCTCCGCGGAAGCGGTATCGGCCCAAGCCTCCGCCATGCAATCTCCCTACCGCAACAGCAGCGCCGACTACTCAACCACTTCATTTCCAAGCTCCCCTCATCCGAACCAATAAATCCCAACTCGAACCAATTAACACTCGCAGTAAAAGACAACATTGCCACGACCTCCCCCATTCAAACAACATGCGCCTCCACCATTCTCTCCAACTATACCTCACCAATAGAAGCCACAATCGTCACCCAGCTTCGTGCTCTAGGCGCCAAAATCACAGGCAAGACGAACCTTGACGAGTTCGGCATGGGTAGCCACAGCACGCATTCCGCCTTTGGTGCTGTTTCTCAGGACGGCTCCCCGGAAGCCCCAATATCAGCAGGCGGTAGCTCAGGAGGAAGCGCAATAGCAGTGGCCAACAAGGAGGTTGATCTAGCACTAGGTACCGACACAGGTGGTTCAGTCCGCTTACCGGCGGCCTACACTGGTGTAGTAGGATACAAGCCATCATACGGCATGATATCGCGGTACGGCGTGGTTCCTTACGCCAATAGTCTGGACACTGTCGGGTTTCTAAGCAGACAAGTCGAGCCAATACGGAGCCTCATAACCGGAAAGGACTCCGACGGAGAAGGGGCCCTGTGGAATAAGCACGACAGCAACGACCCCACGAGCTTAAGTCTGTCAGCAAGAATGCGGTGTGCCAAGCAAAGGGAAGGATACACCAAAAAGTGGGAGAAGAAGAGACTGGATGGCATCAAGTTCGGTATTCCCCTCGAATACAATATTGAGGAGCTCGATCCAAGTATACGGGGTGCTTGGACGGCGGCTGCAGAAATACTACAGCAAGAATTTGGTGCGCAGATTGTACCTGTCTATTTACCGACAACAAAACAAGCATTGGCGGCATACTACGTTATCGCCCCGGCCGAGGCGTCCTCAAACTTGGCGAAATACGATGGTATACGGTACGGCAAGAGGGATGAAGACGCAGCAAGCGATGCCGCCGGCGGGGTACTCTATGCTGCCACACGCGGAAAGGGCTTTGGCGAAGAGGTCAAGCGGCGCATCTTGTTAGGATCTTACACCCTGAGCTCTGAAGCCATGGACAACTACTTCATCAAGGCGCAGAGGGTACGTCGGCTAGTGCGTCGAGACTTCAACAGAGTCTTTGCCCTCATAAACCCGTTACAAGAGGGCGAAACGTATTCGCTCAGCGACTTGCCCGAAATCATCGAAATGGAGGATAAATGGGGACCTGAGGAGGTCGACTTCCTGCTCTGCCCTACTGCGCCTACTTTGCCGCCCAAGCTGGCGGATGTGGCCGACCAGACATCTGTAGATGCGTACATGAACGATGTGTTTACTGTCCCCGCAAGTCTGGCTGGGCTTCCGGCTATCAGCATACCGATGTCCATCACTTCTGAAGACGGTCCCAAGACTGCAGGACTTCAATTAATCGGGCAGTATTGGGACGATGCCAGGCTCCTTGGTGTGGCAGAAGCAGTGTCCGAGAGGCTACAAGTTAGGTGAGATCTCAAAATGTGTAAAAGGCAGGAATGCTGTAAATGCATGTAGATATCTTGCGCAACCACGGGGAGCTTGTGAATATGCTGTATTTGCTATAATACCTTATCCTGTACCATGCCTGCTGTGAGATGATATTAGATAAGGAATCACTGAGAACAGTGGACCGGCGAACTGCCACAGGCTCGTCTCGATCGTTCCCTCATGTACCGTCACAACTCACCCACTCGTGCCTGCAATGGATACCATGGGTATATAACCAACCTTGCCGCCCTCACCACCAACAAATAAAAACCGAATAGCCTGCTTGGCGTAGGGGTAACGGGTTGCACTTGTAAATTGCGACCACCAGTCAACCGCTGGCCCGACAGCGTTGCATGGGTGAGCAGTGGCTGTGTCTCCCGCGGAGAATCTATTGATAGGTAACAAGCTATGAGTACACGTGAGAGAAGACACGATGTGATAACAGGGACGCCTCCCCTAGACTAAGAGGTAGCGGCCGAAGGGTGATTCGGGGTTACGAAAGTAACTTTGACGGTGTGCCAATAATAAATGCAAAGATTCCCAGGTTTGAATCCTGGAGTAGGCAACCCAGAATTTTTCTTCTATTTTTTTTTCTTTTTGGTTTCTCCTGCACCAGATTAACTTTATGATTGATTGTTCTTGGTTTGTCGTTGCCCGGTGTGATAATGGTGACCACGATGAAAACAAGTTTTATCCTCGACAGCTGTCAGATTCCTTTTCCTGCAGTCCTATAAGCTTTATGCCTCTTGAATGCATATATATCCCACGCAGGTTCGAAATCCTGCAGAGGGCAACTTTTCCTTTCCTTTTTCCAGCTTGTTATGTACATTTGTGGTGATGATGATACATTATCATAGAGATTACTTGGAAGCTTCCGGGCTTCCTGTTTGTCTTTGACTAAGATATAAAATGCCACCTCAGATTGATATGTTCGGATCGTTGCATTCGTAAATGTATACTACGACTACGAAGTCAAGCAGTACTTTCCCTAGAACTCTCCTCACAGATGTGGACATGGTATGCATAAACCCGAAATTAATTTCTTTAGGATGTAGAAGAGAAAGATGAGAAGACAGTAAAGAACGGGAAAATGGGGCCGGCGGCGGACATGCTCGTCTTCTCTAGACCGTAATCTTACTGGGTCTCCTTCCTCATCTGCTCACGTATTTCTTCCATCTCTCCAAATTCGAGTCCTGTAGCAGACAACTCTTTTTCTCCCGCAAGAGTAAGAAAAAAAGGAGAAAAAAACAAAGCAAGACGGTGACCCTCAGATTAGCTCTCTTGGGTTCTCACTGACAACACGACTGAATCAAACCTTCCCTGACAAGGGAGGACTCGAAGACCATCGGTTGCCTGCAAATTTGGCTTAATGGACTTGGGCTCATCACTGGGTTTGTCTGCTTCGTTTGCTGCTTACCCCTCGTCTTACTCCACAAGAAAGAAAGAAAAAGGATAAGACAAGAGAGGGTCGGAGATATATATGATGCACATGCCGGATTTCCCACAGTCCTCCCTTGCCTTGAGCTAACCACCCGGTGTTGTTTCGGCAATGATACACAACTTCGACACTCGCCTGGCTGTTTCAATTTCAAGACGACGATGATCGATGCTCGCCGCTCCGATTGAAAACTATATTTTTGACCATCATTGGTGCTGCTCTTCACGCAATCTCCCTGTTCGTCCCACCTGACTCCAAGCTGGTTCCAAAGATCCACGCTCGTTGTAAGGAGAGCGAGACAGGAACGCTAGCCATGGGCGCACCTCTGGTGTTGCTTTTCTCGTCATAGCGGCATGAGAGTGACCAAACCGCCGCTTGGCTTTGAGACTAAGACGGGTTGAACTGTTTAAAGGACGGGGGAAGGTAAGGGGTTTGAGGAAGAGGGTAATATAAAGAGCTGGTGATGGTTTCGGATCATATTGGTGATAGGGATGAGAATCGATGGTAGATGGTGTCATAAATGTCGTCAATATATAAATCTCGTAGTTCAATACCGTATAGTTCTGCTCAGATATCCGTTCTTAGACTCGCATCCTCACCCTCGTCTCGGAACCTAACAACATTTAAAATTCAAATGTGTGAGAGGACTGGTTGAGTTGAGTGGGTTGGGCTTTAGCTCTGGCCCATGTGCTTTCCTCATAGCAGATAGGTAGTTTGCCGGCTCAAGGCCGAGGTGTGCCATGCAGGTGCACAACATCACTTGATGTGAAGGTCCAAGAAATCAGCAGGTGCTTGGCGATAAGTGAAGGATGCCCTGGTGTTGTCATTCTTCCGGACAATACAGCTTGGGAGTGAGGTCTCAGAAGTGAAAACCGGAAAGTAACTCTAACCAGATATGAGGAAGCTGTGACGGGAAGAACGAGAAGAATGAGAGATGAGAAAGAGAAGATGTCTTCAGAAAACGTTCAAGTGGAAGAAGGCTCCCGGTCTGAAAAAGCTTTACCTGAATTCCGGCAGCTTCGTTGTTCATGAAGCTGATGTCAGCGCTTCAGATAAGTGGCCGGCTAACTGGTCGATATGTTGGGATACCTGATAGGTGAAGATATTTTCCAATGGCGAACAAGCTCAAAAGATCGACTGAAGTTCGTGGTGAGGAAAGTTGGGGATGAATGGAAAGGAACGCGCTGCACGCGTCAACCGAAAACGACCCCAAGTCCCCGCATAGCACCCCCTGTAAAGCTTGGGCCACGGCACCACAGCGGAACCAGGAAGCTCAAACTTCCACCAACCCAGCAAGGCTGTAAATTTCCAGACATCCTCGTCAGGCTGCTCCCGAATTATTATAGAAGCCCGCCGCCCACTCCAACAGATAGTTCTCGAACCCAACAACCGCCCCTCTATTTGGGCCCTCTCTCTCTCTCCAGACAGGCACGATATAGACATAGTCGAGCATAACCCCTTTGTTTAATTCAAAATGGTAAACCAATGCCTACTGCAACCTTTGCAAGCAACACAAGCACATACACTAACATGTTCCTCTTCAGGCCCGCAACTCAGAAAAAGCGCAGTCCATGCTCTTCCGCTTCCGTGAAGCCCAAGCAGCAGACCTAGGAATCATCGACGCGGGACGAATGCGCCGTCCGCGCGCAATCACAGAACAGGACTCAATCCCCAACTGCGAGAAATGGCGCGGCCAGGTACTCAAGGAGATCTCGCGCAAAGTCAGCCGAATCCAGGAATCCTCCCTCTCCGACTTCCAGATCCGCGACCTAAACGACGAGATCAACAAGCTCATGAGGGAAAAACACATGTGGGAAGTGCAAATCCGTAACTTGGGAGGCCCGAATTACATGCGGGTCGCCGGTGCAGGAAAAGTATATGACGAAGCAGGGAGGGAAATACAAGGCGGTGGGAAAGGGTATAGGTACTTTGGGAGGGCGAAGGAGCTACCGGGTGTGAAAGAGTTATTTGAGGCTGCGGCTAAGGCGAGGCAGGAAGAGAACGAGAAGCCGCTGGATGAAAGGACAGATCTGAGGAAGCAGGTTGATGCTGCTTATTACGGGTACGCGCCAGATGAGGAGGATGAGTTATTGCTTGAGTATGAGAAAGTAAAGGAGATGGAAGCTTCCGACGCGCTTTCGAAGGCGGGACCGGCTGAGAGACCGCCCGGATGGGAGCCCTTGCCCGGGGATACAGGAGATGGGAGGATATGGGAGCTGCCGACTCTGGATGAGGTTCAGCAGGAGCTTATTGAGAGACGGCGGAGAGAGTTGTTGGATCAGTTATAGTCAATTGGGTTTAGCGGTTTTCACTTGTTAGGTATTGGAAAAATCCACGACGACGACACAGAATCTTTGTTTATGTAGCATTTTCATGGCTAAGCTCGGCGTTTACTGGAATTACGAAGGGAGACATTATTAATCTGCTATAACGACGAGTTCCAAATATGCTATGTGTTTCTGGTATAAAAGACTCCAAATATCGACAAACGCGCGATTCATGTATACATTACCCCATTATACGTCTGATGACTCCATGTGTGTACCTTAAACCCCCAATTACGCCGTGACCATGTACCGTCAATAAATATATTCTGCGCCTAGCACTTTGCTGGCCAATTCTTCTTGATCCAATCTGCCCAAAGCTCCGTAAATGTGCCCTCCACATATGACTGGACGTGTTCAGTGCCGTAACGACCGCCCAACAACTTCAAAGCCATAAGCACAAATGGCTGGATGAAATCGACAAACACCAAATCGACTGTGTCTGGCTCACCTTCTGATGGGAAGGCAAGCTCGGTCTGTATGCAATTAGGGACGAGGTAGAAGTTGATGTTTGCATGAATTGAATCGTCGCCGTCATCTCCAATATCATCTCTTGTAGTGTAGCCTTCGGTGAGATGAGGCTTCTCACTTAGGCGATCCAACGGTTTTTGCAGGCCGTCATTGATGATAGGCCCTGGGCTCTTGTAAATGATCGACTCGTTCAGAGCCCACTGTTCAGGAATACCCATAAACTTGTTATCAAGAAGCGCGGGCGCCTCCATAATCCTGCCAGCATCATTCAGAAGTTTAATTACCTTCTTGGCGATCGGGTAAGGAACATCTGGTATATAGCTGAGGACGCTAAGGAAGGGAGAGACGATATATGTGGTGTCCCTTGTGAATGCACCCTTGAAGATATCGAAACGAACAGCACCAGTGTTGGCAATGACCAAACGAGGAACGTCTTTCCTGGTGGGGTTGACGGCAACATCCGGTATCACTTGTTCTTGGAGCAAAGTATAAATGCTGTCTTCACTCGGATACGGAGCTCGTGTCATCCAATAATCTTGCGGCGCGCACCCGAACGTGTAATCAAGCTCAAGCTCCTTGCGGGCCTTGGTGATCATAGCCGAGACATTGTGGCCGTGTTCGGTCGGAAAGGTAGTGGCATTGAGGCCTGTGTGATGATACAACCCAAGCAAGTTATTATCAATATACCGGCGGTGGAATGATAAAGGTGACTCAATCGCGGGTGTCTCGTCCTGTTTGACCACGCCATCGACTGACATCCAGCCAATTGTTTCAAAGTACCTTCCGCTGGCGATGGCAAACGACCGCTCATCGTACGCAGTTGCATCTCTGATATGGACATGCCCACCAAAGAACAGAATAGGTGTGACCGGATTCTGGTCCCGGATTGCCTTGAATATATCCTTGAACTCTTGCATTTGCACACCAACATGTCCGATTACAATGAATACATCCGTCTGTTCTCGAATGGCTTTCTGAAACCAGGGTTCCTGGATTGTCTGTTTGACTGGTTGGACAATAGTGTTCTTGTCATTGCCGGTGAAGTCGAAGAGGAAGCCAAACGCGACTACATCCACCTTTTGATTCTTTGTTTGAAACTTGCGGTACCGCTGCGCCATTGGCATCCTCTTTCCAGTTTCTGGGTCAATGTAGTCGAGATTTGAGGCGATGTACTTCTTTTTGAAGTTCGGGACGGTGAAGCGGTGTTCAGCATCGGCAGTCGAGGCATGGTATAGCTCGTGGTTGCCGCTGCATATTATGTCGACAGCTTGCTCGCGGTAGATATCGTAGTAATATTTCCCTTTCGGGTCTGACGCATCGTACAAGCCGTTT